TCAAAGTCTTGCACATATAGTCCATAAATCTGAAACTTCCCAGAGATCCAGAGCAAACCAAAGGCATTTGTCCCAAAGCATTCTACTGTCCTTAGCTCCTCACTCCTCAAGGAGAGACTGTTTTCATAGGACTATGCAGAAAAGGTAATAAATCCTCAATATAAAACATATATGCACTGAATGGAAAAATCAGACAAATTCAGAAAGATGGCAATTAAAAATGAAAGTAATGTTTCTTCCTCTGAAGCTTCTGTCCTTTAGCATCTAAAAGCACACGGTACTAAGAGAGAGCTTGTAAAGTTATTGGGACTTCCCTTATTTTCCTGCAAGAATTTCCCATTATGTTTTTCTGCCACATTTCCTTCTTCTGTGTCAGCTCTCCTGGGTTTGTTATTTTCTCTTTTCTATTATGCACTGAAAATAAGAGAGGGTCTGTAGTCTTGGTGGAACAGGAGCAGCTGTGTCATCCTGTGTCCTGTCCAGTCTCAAAATAAAATATTCTGAATCATGTCAAATCTCAAAGATTTTTTTCTTACTGCACCTTTTTGCAGTCCAACTGGATGATTAACTGTGCTTTATCGGCATATGACCACCATAGCCAAATTACTTTCATATGCCCTATCTGCAGGTCATGTCTTTACAGCTAATAATTTCATCTATCTTCAGTACCTCCAGGAAATTTCCTTTTCAGGACAGACAGCTGCAATGGATAGATAGTGATTTCTCTGCGTGGGGAAAAAATTACTATATTTCATCTCCTCTAGAAGTACAGGAGAAGCTCACAAATTTCTGATAGCCAGCAGGAAAATGTGCTTTGGAGAAAACATTCTCTCACTCTGCATAGTGGTAGAGTTTGCTATTTCAGGCACTTTGCATGGCTTAAATTTGGGGATCTTCTTAGTTCCATTTCTTTGAGAAGGATTTCCTTTTTCTTTTCTTTCTTTCCCTTTTCCACTACCAGTAATAAGAGATATTGCAGGGAGAGGAATGATGAAAAATGAGCCAAGTCTTTAGAGACAGGGTGTCTGCATATTTTACAAACTGCACAAAAGCTGCACTTGTGGGTTTAGAAAGTAGTTATGAACTTTAAAATCAAAATGTTGCATTATTAGAAGGAAGAGGTCCTTTATGTAGTGTTCTTTCCTGTGTAAGTTTCTTCTCCTCTAAAGTATTTAAAAGATTGTTCACATAGGTCAAGAACTATAGTTGTATCAATTTTCCAGTCTCTCTTTGAAATCAGGTGACTGTTGTTTGCATAATTTACTTTAAAAAGCTGGTCGAATCTCACAATATTATTTTCCCCATTAAAATCTCTTTTAACATTGTCTTTGGATCATACTTTGAGTCTCACACTTGTGCAAGACCAGTCAGTTAATGTAATATGGGGAAGAATGGTTAATTTATTTACTCATTAAAATAGCATTTATAAGAGGCAGGTGCATAAAGTTCTTTGTCCACTAGTTACAGAATATTTTTAGCAGTAAAGCAGTTTTACACTAAGCTTCTCCACAGACCACTAATGGAATAGTCTTTAAATTGAATTACTTGGAGGGGGTTTTGTGCTTTTTTTTTAAAGGTGAAATTAAATTTTTTAACTTAGATGCTCACAGAGTGTTTTCTTTCTATATAGAGTTAAGTAAAATATTCAGGACTATATCGAACATTTTTGTCTGTTATGTAGAAAAGAACAGAGATCATCTTTGCTTGAATTTTATCAAAATTGATTAAAGTCTTTATTCAGCAAGTTTAAGTACTAATAAATGCATTTTTCCCCTCGTGGATGACGTTCCACCTCAATATGGGCACAGAGCTGTTAATAGTGTACCTTGGATGTGTTCTAATAATATTGTATAAATATCTAAAGTGACTACTGAGAATGCCATTGGCTGTACTCTCTGACCTACTATCAAGATGTAATGCTTACTGTGGTGCAGCTGAACTTTGATAGATTTTAATTAAGTCTCCTCTGACCATTATTCTTTGTGGTAGTTTCGCTTGTTAGTCTGCTCTGTGAATGGGAATGTGCAGAGCTGAGTCAAAGATAAAAATGAGGTCACTTATTTAGAACCAGAATTCTTGAAAATGGGAATAGAACCACATTTCCTATCCTTTTTTTTTTTTGCTTGTGAGGAAAAATTGAGGCATTCAGAACCTCACCCTTTATTTATAGCTTTTCCCCTAATGTCTGGGAATAGTAACCTGAAAGATAGGTGTGAATATTTCTATGGACCTTGCTGGAACTTCTCATTTATGGCTGCTAAGAAAGAAAGAAAGAAAGAAAGAAGGGTAGTGACTCCCTTCTGAGGGGAACTGAGGGCCCTCAGTGTGCCAACCAGACCCATCCCACAGGGAAGTCTCGTGCCTCCCTGGGGCCCAGACAGGAGATACTCCCAGGAGACTCCCTGGACTGGTTCAGCCCTCTGATTATTACCCAGTTCTGTTCGTCTAGGTCGGCACTGACAAGGAGGGAAGTCCTAGGTTCTAATTAAGATTCCATTTTTGCATTGTATTTCATCATGAAGACACAGGTTTAATCACTGTGAGCTTCTTCTACTGTCCCCACAAAAAACACCCCATGAACATAATCTCATTGGGAAATTGATGCCAAAAGTTTTTCCAGTGTTACCAGAGAAGGTGAATCAGTGCTCGCAATTCTTAATATAGACCAATAGAGAGTCTGAAATGCTGCAGATACATTTATAGATAGCTGACTGGGCCTCCTAATATATGTGCAGCATATGTCAAACAGCCTGTCTGTGTCTGCTAGGATAGTTACCATCTCCTGAAATAACATATGCCAAGCCATCAAACTTTATCTTCCATTGGCATACACACCAGAGGTTTACTCAATATATTGGTTTCAGCTAGGGAGTATGAATTTTCTAAGTTCTGAGCTATATCAACAGACTTTCATAGTCCAGATGGGGCTGTAGACAAGTCCTTGCCATTTTTTCAGCCTGTAACTTTGTTCAGCA